ATTCAGTTTGGAATTGAATAGATCTATTTAAACGAAGGAGGGTTATTTTTACCCTCACCGTCTGACTAACACTTTTTTTCCAGCATTTTCGAGCCATGTTTGTAGATACTTTATCCTTATATTCGTCCCAGAACAAAGTTTTCAAACGTTATTTTTCAAAATCCGGTGTCAAAAAAAAAATAATTCCGTAAAAAAATACTTTCTTAATATCAACATCAAACAATATGCACTTAAATTGAGTAGAATCCGACATTAACCTACTGAAATTGAACGTGTAAATAACAAAATAGTACAGAAGTAATCTTGCACATTAAGCCTTTTTTCCTGCAGAAAAGAAACAGTTTAAAAATGTTTAGTTATGTACCCATAGCTGAACAAAGAAATATGCATGATTAAAAAAATATATATTAATAATATAGCGCCTAAATTACACACCAAAGCCAATTGATATGTCTATTGTTCATTGTAGATAAATGGAAGCTTCAACCTGCTTTTAAAAAGCCAAAATGTTTTGAAAATTCCATTAATTAAAAATTATCTCCAGAACATCTAAAGCAAAGCAGAAAAGCGAGCTTACAAAAACGACAAATCTAGCAAAATGTTCCACTTTTCAACAGTTTTGCAGCATTTTATTTGCTGTACCCAAACCTTTAAAGGTAAATCCGTCCTATATCGGTTAAGCCTTTTCTAATTGCCAATTATTGGATTCCTTGTTATTTGCAACAGTTATTAACTATGTTGGTATGTTCGAAGAATTAACACTATTCGATGTTACAGTTATAAATTTTCTTCAACTATAAATTATGGCATTTGCATAAATTGAGAGCCAATTGAAGCTGCTTGGGCAGAAACAGTTAAGGTCGTTTATATCCTGAGTAGTACTAAGAAGTTATGCAAAAATATAAAACATGCACTTTCTAGCTATTTATAGAGCGAAAAGTACTAAACTTTTATAGAACATGTGAAACCATTCACTTTTAAACTAGATCGAAGATCAGTGATCGCATTTAACTATTTTGGATTATTTTTTATTACCCGTTTAATGCCTTCAACCGAGAAAAATTGATTAGTTGCGTTTTTATCATCTTACATATAATAAATTTGCGCAAGTCAGTCCCGACGTTATAGTTTTCTTATTTATTTACTTCATCGTACTTTATCCTAGACATGATGCTATGAAATAAACGATATACATCCAGCAGAGTGAATTAGGAAATGCTTGGATTATAAAATAAATGGCTATTAACTTACTTTACTCAATATCCAGCTATTTTTACACTTAACTTTTCCCATAACTGATTTTATTTACGACCGGCTGAATATTAGTTTCAATTCTGCAGACATTTCTAACCGATATTAATCCGAGCCTGAAATTTAAACCGTATTCACTTGATTAGTTCAGATGGTATTTCTTCTGCAGTTGAGGTTTTAGGTTAGAGCTTGAAACGATAATCTAGTTGTACCGGATAAATTATAAAAACGATTGTTATTTACCATTAAATATCATGATTTTGTGCTTTATGTAACTAAAAATAGAGAAGAATTAGTTGGCAGACAAATTATATGAACGAAAATTTTTTCTGTACTTAAAATTTAGACTTAAAATTTTTTTTAGACTTAAAATGTTTTCTCCATAAACATAGTGAAACAGAACATTATTAAAAAATAACCCATCGACAATGTTAAACACAAATTTCTTCAGGTCTTTGAAAAGATCATAATAATGCAAATAAGTATCAAATAAATATCAGTCAAAAAGTCACGACAACATGAGTTTGACTTTTATTTTCTTATTATAAAAGTCTGAAATAATTTTTAAGAGGTGATCTTTTCGAATAATTCAGTTTTCAACTTTCCAGAGTGAAGTAAACTAATTTTCAATCACGAGATATTTAATTAAATATTAGCACAAACCTAATAACATAAAGCATAAATCATATTCCCATCTGAGATTAGAAACTTTAATAATCATGGACCGATGAAGTTTAATTAAAAACTTTTAAATACGTTTCTAATACCATTAATTAATTACATTCGGGCAGATATCTGAAGAAACCGTTTTATCTTTAAAGCCGAAAAAACACCACAATCGATTTATCGTTCTGTTTTACAATAATTACTGAATTATTGTCATATTCTGAAGAATGATCAATGCGAAATTCGTAGTTAAATCAGAAACAAAAGTTTTGGGTTTTTTTTATGCAAGGAATTCGCCCAAAACGTCCTATTTTTATTTTAACAAGAACAACGTATGGAGCCGAGTAGAGAAAACGATCATTGCATGCGTCAGATTGTCTAATTTATTTAGCTTTTGTAAAATTTATCACATCTTTCAAAACTTTCCCTGCAACTCTTTGAGAGAAATAATGTCAGTTCTGAATCATCCTGTATATTTAAAAAATGTATTGCTGCTGTTGAATACCCACTAAATCTTATATGTATTGTAATTTTCAAAAAGTGAAAAACATGGTTATTTTAAGTATTCACTTTTAAAAACTTTAAAGTGTTACTCTTTTAGTGCAGTAGTTAAAGCCGATTATTTTTTCTTCAGAAGCCTGCATCTTTCATTGGCGTCATTCTTTTTCAGCGGTTACTTAGAGAGTACGGAAAACCATTAAAAAATGTTTTGTTTTGAGTTTACTAACTGAAGATGTTCGCTCTTCAAGATTTCAACGATGATATTTAGCAGTATTTTAGTATAGTTACACATTTAAACATTCCAAATAAAACGTTGCGAAACTTGCCTAAACTCCATGCTTCAAGCCAAATATTCGGTGAGAAATATGTCACCGTTACCACGTATTTTTGGATTTTTATTTGGAAAAACGTAAAATTTGTAACAATGTCAAACATGCATTAAGTTTTGCTGTCTTGAGGTCTGAGGGAGTCGATCAAACCTCCCACAAACAAAACAGACGCACGTAATTCACAGTGTTTTGCTTATTACATGCAAATAGATCTCCAGGGAAAGTATCTTTACATTAATCTGTTACGTTTGTTGATTTACACATACACATAAAAGTGCGATCATAATGTTTTTTGCAAATATATCAGTGTTTTATGAGAATTACTGTTATTACTATTTTTTCTGTTCTCACTAAATCCCCCAGCAACACCTATAGAGAAATGACGGAAATGTTTCATGTATACATGGTGATTTATTAAGATCACGTAAACGTTAAATGTTAGCCATTCGCGCAAGGGACCACAACAGGGTGTTAAAAAGTTGTAATTTAGTTCGTTTTTCGTCATTATTCTGAAAATATCTGGGATAGACTTTAAACATTTTATGACGCTATTTAGCTTTTTTCGATGATGAATGTGATCTGTGTTTCCGCGCTAATTGCGACGATTATTGCCGACATTTAAAGTAATAACTTTTCGCCCTGTAAGTATAACATCACACTCAAATCAAAATCGATTTAATATAGTCGAAAATAAAAAAGAGCAATAATTTCTACATTAATTAAGTAATCTTGTTTCATATCGAAATTTCGGCCGTTATTGAGATAAATGGATTCAACCAACGCTAGATTTTAATCACACAAAACTAAAAATGTAAGAAATCATATATTTTAAATACTAAAACAAGTAAAATTCGAAATAATTACTTAAAGTGATTGTTCAAAGTGGCCACCATCGACACCGATACACTTTACACATCCGCGATACAAAGAAAACTCCGCGGCGAGTAATCGTCGCCTCATCGGTAAACAAAAGTTTATCTTAAAAAGTACCATCGTTGGTTTGTTGCTCTTGTAGAAAATGGCCAAAACGTAACAGAGGAGGAGGATTCTGCGGCATCAAATTCTGTACAGGAGTAAAACACAATGGATATAGTTTTCCTTTTTTCAGAATATTCCAAACCGCAGACTGAGTTAGGCCTGTTGCAGTATCTAAAAGACGAGTAATTTTTTTCTCGAAAATGGATCCAAATATCGATATGAAACAAGAATAATAAATTTATGTAGAACTGATTGCTGTTTCAGATTTTGAACATTTAAAGAGTGAAAAGTTATTACTTTCGATGTCCGCAAAATTGGTCCCAAGTGAATGAGGAGCACAGACATTGCAACAGGTATCTTATCTTATTCGTCACCTAAATAATTCTATAGGGAATTCTATAGGGTAATAAAAACGAAAAACGAGGATATCAACCCAAGTCGGTCCCGTTGTTTAAAAGCGATAATGGGGAGATGATAATCAACGAACACGAACAGTTGGAAACATGGAAAACAAACTTTGAAATGCTGCTAAATATAGAACCCGATAAAAAACCGAAATATGTACATACCACCGGGAGGGAGAAGAGACCGTCGAAAAAATGGCCTCTTGGGAGATCACGCCAGAGATGGAAAGACAAGATCAATGCAGATCTCACAAAAATGAATACTCCTCTGGACACGAATCTTTTGGAGGTGCGGGAGGTCTGGAGGAGCATAGTGCAGTCAGCTAAGACCCACTCTGGGTTGTAGGGCTACCTTTCATTGTTTTGTAAATAAACCTAACGTCACAAAATTTCAAATTCCTAGCCCAGATATTTTCAGAATAATGGTTAAAAAACGAGTCAAAATATCAAGTTTCGGAGATCGTTGCGCAAATGGCCACGATTTGACGTGTAATACATCCAGTTTTCGGATTTCCCATTCCTAATAAATCACCCTGTATATAAGTCGGACCTCAAATCACATATTAAATATTCGGGCGCCATTCATAACTTTCCATGTGAATATTGATAAGACCCGATAGTCACCTGACGAGATGATTGTATTAGAGACACCAACCATCTGTTAATGAATCTAATTAATAACTGTTATTGTGCTTACCACAGTTGAGTTACGATTTTCATGCAAAAGATGCAGAAAACGAAGGACTCTATAAACCACTGAAATGCACCAATTTTACCTGAAAGCGTGCGCGCACTACTACCAACCAACTACAAAGAAAAGGACATTAAGGGTCAGAGGGGGAGAAGCTGGAGCAGCACTCCCCCCGCGTACCTCAATAATCAGTGGTGCCACCAACTTATTGTCCGAGATGCGCGTCACCACCGTCTCTGTGAAGGTGCTTTTGGTGATCGTCTCGGTCACTCTCCCGGGTCCCGTAGGCGCAGGAGGAAGTTCAATTGTGTCCGGTTTCCGTATTGTTACAGTAGTTACGGACGCGGCGTTGCCATGGCCCGTGTCAGGCAAAGGGGGACTGTGAGGAGATGGATTATTGGACAGGAAGTGAGCTGGGATCATGGCTTGAAAATCTTCATTGGTGATAGGCCGTGGCAGTACCTGTTCGTCACTATCGATCGAAGACGTCGGAGTCGCTTTCTTATGATTATTGTTTGTCATCGTGGGGGATGGTTGTTTCTCCGCGATATTTGCCGGAATTTCCGACGAGTTTTGGCTGTTCAACCGGCGTGGGGCCGGCTTAGGGGGTTCGTGGTTCAAAGGGGTGGTCGTTGCCCGGTTCACGGTCGTATGGTTATAACCAATTCCATTTGTTTTCGGGAGTTCGAGTGACTTGTCTCGGTTTATTGAATTCGGGGTGGTTTCTGGTGTGACTTTATTGCTTTTCGGCTCTGGAGATTCGCTCTGAAAAAGACGAAAATTATAAATATAACAACAATATCTACACAAGATTCTATCCAAATTGCTTCAAATTCAACTACAGCCTAGATTTTCGAGTTACTGTAAAGTCAAAACTTTCACCTTTGAACATGAAATGTTCCATTGTTTAACGCCGTAACTTATATACAGTGAGCGGCAAATGTATTTCATATATTTATTTAAAAATCAGCTGTATCGCTTAGAACCGTCGATTTTTTGGTTTTAATTGTGCATTTTCTGAACTGATTTTTATGAATGGTTCAAAAAAAACGATGATATCAAGCAAGACCAACTTTTTTTGTTATTTTATTCAGTTCTCTACAAAATACTAATCATTTTTATGGAGCGATCCTTATCCTTATCTTTAACGGTTTTTGGGGTATTGCCGTTATCTAGCGCCATTGTTGTCAATTTTCTGATAAAAATTGAGTATCTGAGACCTATGTTCTACAAAGGGGCAAATGAAAAAATGCAAAATTTCGGATTTTTTCTAGCTGAAGAAAAAAGGTTTTTTAATAATAATAAACTAAATAGCTCGAAGCATTTTTCTTTTATTTACACGGTGTCTCAAAAATCAACTTTTTGGTCTAGTAGCGAAAACTTTTCTGCTCTTGGTCCGACTTTCACGATCTTGAGCTGTTGACTCTAAAACTTCATAGACAATTTAAGACTAAAGTTCAATACAATACCTGATTGCATGAAAAATTACTCAAATCAGAATTGCCTCCGAAATCTGTGATTCTCGAAGATTTTCAACTAGGTAAAGTTTACTTTCAAATATTTTTATTACAACCGGTACAATGATATTTTTCGTCCTCTGCGAAGTTTTGGCTTTAATAGCAGCCTTATACTGTTCTAATCGGTTAAAAAAAATTATTGCTCCAATACCAAAATGTTGATTTTTTAAGATCAGTACGTAAATAAACGAGATGAGCAAAAAATTAAAAAACCTTTTTTGAGATACAAGGTCTATCTTAATGCCTATGGTATCGAAATACAAAAAAAACCGTTCATTTGTTCAACGGAGAGCGTATGAAACTCGCACCAATTTTGGATTTCATTTGCTACCCGGTAGAAAATCTATCGAAGTTACTGATTTTTTTGCAAAACACGCACTATCCGAAAAATAATTGCCCTAAATAACATTTCAAACAGAAATAGAATTGTTCGCAGCCATCAGAAATTGTACAGACGTTTTTTAATGCCGAAAGAGAGATACCCGAAAACGAAGCATGATACAGAAGCAATCGCCATCGATTATCAAAAAATCCGCTTGTAAAAAGACCATTTTTGGATGATTATGTCAGGCATCAGAAACGTTCGGAACCTAAATATTTTTGGCGATTCCTGTGGTGGACACAACAGCAACTTTACATTTCGGGCTTTTCGTTGGCGAAAGAACGAGATCTGATACTGTGAAAATAGCATTCCTTATTAAAAATCAAAACTAAGTTTCCAGAAGACTGAATCCAGGTAGTTGTGAACGCAAGAGCCATTACCATTTAAAGTTGAAAATGTCGACAACAGCACTGTGAGAAGCTGGAGTGATTTTTTGAATTCTCGCTACATCACAAAACATGCCATTTTATCAAGGCCTGATAGAGAAATGGAAGAAAGAGCATAAGATGATCCAAGAATGAGACGGCACCGTGATAGTTATAATGGAAATTGGGTATCTTCCATCGTTACTCATCCGTGCGTTGAAAGTTTCAAACGGATTCGAGGACCTCCATTACGAGAAACTGAATTTTTACCCACCAAAAGCTTATTTTGGTAAGTTTTAATGTTCAGCCAACTTAAAAAGGTAATTTATTTTTGCATTATTTTGATGACAACTCGCCAGTTCTACCAAAGAGAAAAAACTGATTAAACTTGTAGAATCTGGTAAAAGAACCCAGATCCTGATCTTCAATTTGCACCTGTTCGGAATTATACTTCGTTTCTTCCCAGTTTGAGTTGCAGTAACGAACGTTTTTTCTTGTCAAATTGCATTGAAGAAATAATTGTGAAACCGTGGTACGAAAACGGCTTTAAACTTTAACATCAAAATAAGGTACTGCAATTATTTATAAAATAACTGTACTTTTTTTCCTGTAGATGCTCTTCAAATATAAGGAGGGCTTCAAATAGAGCTTTAAACGCCATCGTGTAGATATGTTCAACAAAATTCCTCAGCTCCTAATAGTACACTACTTTGAAGAACCCCCTGTGATCGATTGAAGTTTTACAAACAGTAAAAAATCCTTCTTCAGTCATCTAAAGCAACCGATTAAAAACGAACCGTCAAAATAATGACCCATTAATTATAAACTGCAGCTCACTCACAACATTCTAACCGATTCATTCAACAACCTCTAATAAAGAGATCAATTAGACCGAATGTTTATTTACTCAACCAAAACCGTTCGATGCTTTAAATTGGTCCAATAAAACAGCTGAATCAGATCGAAAGCATTTTAATACGATGACTTCTTGGTTATTATCGAACGATTGTCAAGGTCCAATACATCCACTGAGCTATTTGAAAGGAAATGTTCCGAAATACTTGTGCAAGAAGTTTACCTTTTTGCTAACGTCACTTTCTACTGATCGTCTGTAACTGAAGGGCCGGTTTGCCATGTAGCTGTTGGCACTGTACAGGCCGGTATACGGTTTGGGCAGTCCAAACAGTCTAGGACTTTGTTGTGGACCCGGAGATGGAGATGCACCCAGCGGAACTGGTTCATCGACAGCCATCTGAAATGATGCGAAATTAGTACGATCTCGATAAGGATAGTTAAGAAAAAAATAATCACCTCACGTTCTGCAACGATCCGTACAAAACGCTCGTGACCGGTGAGGAACTGTACAGCCTGCTGGTGTGTTGCTTCAGTCAGATCAACACCATTGATTGAGATTACTCGATCGCCTACAGCTAACTGGCCATCTTTGTCAGCTACACCGCCATCAGTAATTCGTGAAATATAGATAGCGTCCGAATTATCCTGCAAAGAAAACAACTGTTTTAAGACCTTTTCTCGCTTTTGAACCGTTCAGTATGAAGTGATGTCTGTGTGTGTGGAGTCTTTCGTTAATCTGCTTTACTAATCTTTATATAATCACTGTCAATGCTAATTTTGTATGTGAATAAACGCCAGAAATAACATTTTTGTTGATGGTAAGAACTAAATTCGATCACTGAAGTTGAATCTGATATTTCATACCGAGGTTGAATGTAAAATAATTTAGATGTTGAATAAAATGTGAAAATCAATATGTGGATCATTTCAGACGAGCTGTGTAAATCTAGACACTTTTGGGTTAGCTAAACCGAATTTCTCTTAAATAAACGACTGTAAAACTATTTAGAAATCAAATTGGAAAACATGCATCAAGAGAAAAAATAACAGGAAATGCACGATATTGGAATTTTTAAAATTTTCAGTATATCACAAATAAAATCACACAAAAATGTTCGCGTCGAAAAAATACTGCAAAAAAATTCAAACTATCGAAGAACAAATAAAATTGGATTTTAAAAGAGCAATAAAACTGTGACTCATTTCAGAGGAGTTGTGAGTAAATTTAGATAGGTTTGAGTCAGTTAAACATACATAGTTTAAATAATACTCAACTTGTCGCATGTCAAAAGATATCTACAAAGCCATTTTCTCTTAACTAAAAAACAGTAAAAACTATTTCAAAATCAAATTTTTTTAAAGTTCAGGTCATTGCAAACAAAGCCGCACAAAAAATAGCAAAGAAACACAGTATCAAGATACAAATAAAATTGGCAGAGCAATTTAAAAAAACAGTAAAAAAATCAGAATGAGAAAAATCGACAACTAACTGCTAACAGTTACCTTAAATGGCTGGCTGCCCCTTCCACCGGCTATGCTGAACCCTAATCCCCTCGAATCCCTGATCAGACAAGCGTGTATCAAAACTTTCTTAGTATCTACGTCGTTCAAAATTGGAGGCAGCGGTGGAGGCGGTGTAATCATATATGTATCAGCCTTAGTAGTTCCAACGGTTTCTGGCTTACTTCTGACCAACACAGTTACCTCTCTCAGCACCTACAAAATGGAAAAAAGAACGTATTTTGCCAGAACAAAAACGCAAAATAAATGCTCACCTCCAAGACCAGGATTTGTCCAGACGCTTTCAACACCTCCACAGCATCATAATGCGACACGCCCTGTACGTCAATCGCATTCACTTTTAGCACTTTGTCAGCCACTTTGAGGCCGGCCAGATCTGCCGGACCTCCTTCCGTCACTCTAGAGATGAAGATGCCCTCATCGTCCCCTTTGAAAGGGGTGGAACCTTGACCGCCCGCTATCGACAAGCCCAGGCCAGCATTTGAACGTTCAATGCGAATTTCGTATTTTTCTTCACGCACCTCCACCCTTGGAATATTTGTTGTTGAATCACCACCTAGAACAAAATATATTCGTAAATAAAAAAGCGCCCATCATAAATACAAGTTTATCGACTGTAAGCTGTAAGTAAATGATTTCCAGTTCACTTGGAAAGAAAATTGAAATCGCTTATAGAATGATGGTAAACAATGATAAGTAAAACAGATTAATAATGTTGAGCTCATAGTCGAGGCGATGGATTACATAGTATAGTATTACTCTATTTTAGTAAGTGGTCAATTTAATTTTCCGACAAAAAATGTTATTTTATACATAATAATTTGAGAAGAGAAGATATTTTGCGCAATCAATATGTTGGAGTGTTACGTATTGTAGCTTATAGAAAACTTTCTTGAATCATATGTTTGAGATATCACATGCAAATAAGGTTTACAGTGATTAAAAATAAGATAAATGGCAAGAAACGACTAAAAACTACAGAACATTTAGTAAAAAAAAATTATTTCAAGCCTCTCGAAACGAACTGTTTCACAAGAGGAACAATCGTCTAAATATTGATGTAAACGCATTGCTTTAAATTAAAATAAAGCTTTCTCGCCTCTCATGAATGCTCAATATTAATCTTATAACAACTTCTTTGTTCGCTTTTGCAATTTAGTGATTAAGCAGTTTTGCAAATTATCTTCAATGTGCATTCTTTGCAGACTTCAATATCCGAATTTAGGCAGAACTAGTTGTTTCTGCTAATTTGAACAAAAAAGCTCTGAATAATGTGGTTCGTGTTCCCAAATGTATGGATTTTTTAATTTTCCCACATTCATTCAAATATTATTCGATGTAAGCCGATAAAAAATTATTCATTGTTGTAGAGATTTACAATTGCAAACCACTCAAACAGACCAGTTAATATAAATCAAGTCTGCTGAAAGTATAATTTTATGTTTTGTTATCGTTTTAGTTTTTATCATTCAATTTTTATTATTTTTAAAATATTAAACGAAATAATCAGTAGTAACGAATCAATCAAAAGCTTTGCTGGACAAGTAGAACTTCCCAGGAAATCCTAAATGAAAAGAAGATTTTGTTCAAATAAAGAAACGCTATTAAAAAAACAATAACTCTGGTGACCTTCGTCGAATGAATTACTATATAATATACCTTTTTAAAAATTTAATAAAAGTTCAAGTAAGCCAACATAATGATAAAGCAATATGAAAAAGGATATATATTTACGCAAATGCCAAAGCATTCAATTATTTTTTTTCTTTTATAAACTAAAATCTATAAATTTAATAAAATAACTCGTAAATAAAATAAGTCGCAAAAAGTTGTATTTCCTGACAGTTAAAGCTTTTTGCTTCCCAAATTTAGATTTCATTTAATTATGCTTTGCTTAGTTGTGCATAATGGTGGATTAGGCACAATTTCTGGCAATGTCTTTTGACAAGATTGAGAGAAATTCAATTTTAATTAATGCATAAAAGAAACTAAAAAATTACTTCATTGTATATACTTTCCTGACTGTGTTTCAATTCCAAATCAAAATTAATTCCTGGATTTCAGTCATTCATTGTGAATGAATCACAATGAATGACTGAAACCCAGGCATTAATTTTGATTTGGAATTAAAATATTACTGCCAACTTGATATCCTATAGAGACTACCAAGCAATTATTATTGTTATTATCAAAAGTTAGACCATTGCTTGATATTGGTGAGTTTTTCGAGCTGTTAGGTCCCCGTGGAAAAGATATTCTTCCCTTCCTGACGTTTCGCTAGCACCAATTACTTGCATCCTCAGAGGTTTTTCACTTGAAAGCTTGCACTAATGATAATTAGTTTATGGTGTCCGGTGTCCGTATACATTAGTTTTTATTCGTATTGCCTGTTTTTTTTTTAATAATGTACAGAAGCCATCTCCATAAAACCGAGAAATTTGGCAACTTGTTGTAAAATGTTATAAAGTATTAAATGTTGTCCGTCGGCATGGTGCAAAATTGTAAAGTTCATTGCACAAAAAGTAGCCCAAAGCTCAATTTTCCAAAAAAACACCTTCTTAGTACAGTGATTATCTTAAGGAATCCATTACTTTAACTTCGAACGCAAGAAGGATATAAGCTAGAAAATGACCCAAATTGGTTATCCAACTATCTTTTCTATATTACTTAAGACAAAATGTTATTTAACTTGATGGAAGATTGTTTTGTCGCAGTAAATTTGCCAAATTTTTACGCCGCTTATAAACAACAAACGTTCCTTTTACCACTTGAAACCTGACGCAATTTAAAACAGTGTTTTTTTATATTATAACACCATATGGGCAAATCCATGTCCATGTGCGGTAAGTCGATGACTGACCTAATTGGGTTGCGCAACAATAATAAACCCAACCTTGAAGAATGATTTGCTTTTTACCTACTGCCTCGTTTCACTTTTATGTTTTTCTATTATTATTTACATGTATCGAGAATGTTAGCAGGTAGGTAACCCAATATTATCCGCATATCAGTGTATTAGATAACAGGTGACTCGTGTTAACAACAAAAACTACAAAGGCCACATCGATATCTAATTAAATAAATAAAACGCAAAAGATGACTCATTATAGATGTATGTATACAAAGAGGCCCATCAAAAAATGTTCAGGATGGTACGCGATATTGTTTATTAAAATTGATGAAAAAGAAAAAACTACAAATTAAACCGTATTTCCTTAATCTGGACCTACTGTACGTTAAAATTGTAATAATGCTGCAAAAAACTGTGTGCTCGTTTCCGATAAAATGTCTCAATTCAGCATTTGTTTGAGATTTTTGAAAATAATTTTTACTCACAAGAAAAAGCCACTGGAGACAAGGAGACCTAGAGAGAGACCCAGCGGGCACCGACTGTTTCCTCTAAAAATTTTCTTAAACCTGGATGTTAAGAGTAAAATTAAAGTAGTTGCCAGAAAAATAAACACACTGAGCGAGAATATGGAAATGGATTTGTCTTGGAACAACCACTGGATTTTTGATTTAGTCGCAAAACTTTATCACTGAAAATTTCGGAGGAAATCTTTATAGATGTATAGATTACTTGACAAATCACTTTGTCTTTTCCAAGTAGCTCTTGTGGAAGCAAATGGCGTGGAAACATTAAGGAAACCTTTGCATATTTCAAAAATCACTTCTGGTCATTTTGCTCCCAGATGAACCAGCGGTAGGTAATTAAAATTTTAAAGCCATATTAATTAAATAAAAAATGATTAAATAATTCGAACGAGGATCACATTCCCAAACGGAGAAGAGGAGAAAGATATTCATTAGACAGCTGCTTCCCTAAACAAATTTAAAAAAATGCTTTGAAACCATTGAAATTGCTGGGAATGTTGGATAAATCCTCATAGAAAGAGCTATCAAGCAAAAGACCCAACTCTTTAAAAAAGAGAACCATAAATTAATTAGATTCACTAAAAGGCTTATTACTAATTCGACAAATTTAAGAGTGAAAGTTATTGGATGCAATTGGGAAATTTTCAAAGCAAGAAACATACATTTTTACCCTAAAGGTTCTCACGCAAGATAATCTTACAAGCGTAACCAATTTAAAACCGCTTTTCGCTAGCATTGGGAGCAAACATTCATCCGCATTAGTCTCTAAAGTTTCATATTGGCCACTTTTGGAACGTTTGTAGACTTCCATCTGCTTTCGTTAAGAAAATATGGTTATTCTCAATTTCAATTCAGGTTCCTTGTGCTAAAGTCGATTTAGAATATATCGGTATATGCTTCCAATTACACCATTAAAGTCGTTTACAAATTAATACATTTTTCCCATCAACCTTCTTCTCTTTCCGATATTTTTTGTCCGTTTTCCGAAATTATTTTCTTAGCATGAATCAAAGATAATTTCTTTCAATATTTTAGTCACGTTTTGCACTTGCTCTTACGACGGCCCTGCATGTAGTAATGCGTATCAAGATTGATAAAAAGGATTTTTCTTAAGCTAACAATGATAACACAACACTATCTAAAATTAGAGTTACAATGAAATTCCTAGATAAAGCGTTATCCGAAAAGCGCAAAAACACGAAAATGGTAAAAACCATGCCATTCCAGTCGATTGATAAGAGAATTTCAAAGACACTTCAACCAACCAACGTTCTTAGGCGGTAAATATTGTCTTATTTTCAAAGTGTCTGGACAAACAGAGGCAACGGTCTCTGCATGAAATGAATCACACTTTACATGTTGTACTGTGGATTCGTCAGTGATAAAACATATCAACAAAACGACTGAATGAACGCCATAAAACGTGTATTCCCAAATACGAATGTGTTTGATGCAACTTTAAAAACCGTGCATCGGTACTTTGTTCTACAGTAGTGCGTAAGAAAAACAAGGCAAATATCATAAACAGGAGGATTACCAAGGTACCAAGGTACGTAGCATGTAATGGCGACTTACCCGAATTATATTTCAAAATCTTCCTATTTTTCGGTAGCAGTTTAGGAGTTTTAGGTATATCACTAGCCACTATTTTTGCCGGTTCTTTTTTGTACCGCATCAACGTAGCGGACTTTCGAAAATTTTTCGGAATAGTATCCGCCTTTATATGTAATTTTCCCCCACGAGACTCGATCCGAATTCGCGGCAATGTAGCACTCATTTTCCCGGTGACTCCGACGCAAACGCGACCCGAAAAACTACTGAACTAATTCTGAAAAACTAGGAATTAATTTAAGGCATTATCTCGAGATAACACCTCAACGTAAATAGCATTACATTCTTATCTCACGATACGAGATTTGAACGCGAAACAATGAATAATGAAGGTGTTACGTACGGCAGGTTGTGCGAGAATAGACTGGCGTGTTTTAAATCGCGATTTACCTGGTAGAGCGGTAGTACTGGGCAGACAAGCCTCTGAAGGACGCGAAATTGAAGAAATAAATGAAGCAAGAAGCGCCAAAGACCGGATTTGGACCAGAAAGCCTATCAATAGTAGGAGGGATTTAGCGAAAAAGAAAATTATGCGTTAGATGCCAAAAGAGGGGACTCACTTTTTCACTATCTCCTAGGTACTACGAACGTTGCAGTCCTGCAACGATGTGAAAAGATCCGTGAGTTTATTCGGACAGTGCCCGTGAAGTAACATAAAGCACAGCAGAAGCACGACTCGAAATAAAAATGTAAAATACACTTTCCCAGCTCGGAAATCGGAACTTCTTCTATATGAGAAAGTAATGTTTCAAGCTTTTGAGGTGGCATTACGAATGAAGATAACAGGTGGTAGTTATTCAAATGCAGATTTTTCGAATGTATTTTACATTCATGGCGAATCTCGAAGAATAATTTCAAGAACGTGCAGGCAGCTTGATACATTTGCATTTGTTAACAGCGAATGACAAACATTCAAGGAAGTGTGGCGAATTTTCTAAAGCACGTTATTGCTGAATCAACAAAGACACTTTCGAAACTTGCAACATTGTCAGACGAAAACGAAAACTGTTCACGCATTTCAACATGCATCCAGTACTGAAGATTATTTCATCGAGACAACAGTACTCCAGAAAAATCTCATAATTATAAATTGACCAGAAATCCAGTTTTGGGCAAGGTCTATTCTACCCAGGAGTTTCTCGCACCAAAGTGTCTTTAATATAAGAAACAATGATTGTTGCAAAAGCAAAATTTTTTACTGGTCAACGGATAATAAGGTAAGCCGAAATTCGACTTTGAAAGATTTGGAATATAGTTTTGAACTTGCTGTTCAACGACTTTAATACATACACTCCAACGAAATTAATACAGAAGACACAATAAATAAATCTTCAACTTTGTGTATGATTTGGATCAAAAAACGACATTTTGCACACAATATTTAAATAAACAAATAGATTTGTAGAATTGAGTAAAGACGGATTCAAGTACTTCAGAAGTTGGAATGTCCACAATCTAGAACTAACCATAATTCAGAATGAAGAAAAAGTCACTAAAACCTGATGAAAACCAAACCAAATGTAATAAACTGTTAAATAATCAATTCATTTTATGCATTTTACCTCCAGCAATAGATTCGCTTCAGTTTTTTTTTTAATTGAAGTATGAAGTTATTTTTCGTTTTCTGTGTTAGGTCAATCAATCTATTGTTTTCATCGTTTTTCTTCATCGTTCTTACCACCTGAATATTGTCGGGAGTTCTTAACTATGAAAGCGAAAAAATGTTGGATGCTTTCATGTACGGTTAGCTTAATTTCTCTCAACCTTACCTACTAGTAGCTTTTAACGCTGAAGATAAAAGATCAGATTGGAATTGTTTTCTTCGGCTTTATCTGCCAATTAAGTAATGCTAGCCTACTAGTTAACTGTTCACATTATGAATAGCTTAGCAAGGTTATTGATGTGATTTTTGAAGTCCTTAAAAGACAACACCAAAAAAGTTCCTGTTAATCTTTATAAATTCGATTAATAAAGTAAAATTTCGATTGCGTTTTAAAAATTAGTTTAATTCAATTTCATATTCTCAGACATAATTCGGTTCTAACTTTCTTTTGGCTCTCACTAATATAAAAGTCAATTGGATTGAAGCAAATCGACCTGTTCGGAATTGGGCATAGATCGATTTTCCTCACTCAATGTAGCAAATTTTAATTTAAAGTTAAAAAATATTTCATCTGTAATAATTATAAACGAATCTACTGTGTATGGAACTGGTTCGTCTTCAGTGCAATTTTACGAATAGAATCGATGTAAATCGCCAGTTTCATAGTCATTTGTAATGGAATCAAATGAAAGAAAGCTATGTAACGGGATTGTGATTTTTTATCAGTAATAACTTAACAATGCATATACCTACGTATAAGTTGTAAAAAGTAAGTTATTGGAAAATATCAAAGATGCAAAACGTTGTAGGTTTCTATCAAATTGAACATAATATAACTGTTTCAAAGTACTTGTATATTTCGAGCTATATTTGAGGACATTGTGGTTTTTCATCATCTATGAATTAAGAAGCGCAAAGAGAGCAAAAGTAGCGGTTGAGAAGTAAAATAAAATACATAGTTTGTAGCGTTTGAGACAAAGTCCGTTGTCGAACAAGAAACTCTTGTTTTATGTACATATACCGTTTCTGTTATGATTTAAACGAAAATCCGACTTTTACGTGGTATAAAACGGTCACGATTTGGTAAATGTTTCTTTAATGTTGTGCGTGGTTCGAAGAGATCTTAAACTATAAAAGTAATAACAGTAAAGCAGCCATTATTTGCGGGTCTTCAATTTCACAATACAAGTTTTCTATGGATTAAAGCGAATAAAGGCAACTTAAAACTGTAGTTTGTCAGACACAGAAGAATAAAACAAGCGTTATTAAATAAGTATATTAAGGTTGCATTAAGTTGGCAAATGGAAGAAAAAAGATGCGTCGTTCACACCAAGTATTTTTACTCATTTTGAATACCAAAATCAAAAATTCTAATGTGTTTTATAAATAGCTATTTAAAAAAAATGATTGGTTTGTATAGTTTGTATCCGGTGATAATATTTAAAAAAATGTGTAAGCAAGAAGCAGGGGATGAGTGAATAAGAAAATAATTTAAGCAGCAAAATGACACACAAATTCTTTTTGTCGGTTGCTATATCTGCAAGATACACAGTTTTCAAAATAAAATAAAAACATAGAGAACGAGAGAAAACAGTGTGACTGTTGTTTGTTCATAATCGTTATTAGATTTAGTTAATTTATAGTGTGATTTAAGTGAAGATCGCTGCATTTAAGCCAGCGCCAATTGCATTATTGAGTAGTAGCTTAGAATCGGTTGTTTATCGACATCAATCTTTTACCCGACTTTGTGGCGATTATTTGAGAGGGTCTTTTTTAAACCGCTGATTTTCTGATAATTATTAACCGTGTTCTATGGAAGGCGTGGTCCATTTAATTAAAGTGATAAGACAGTTTCGACATTTTTAAAGCCTTAACAAAAAAATGGCCATCAACAGATATCATCAGTTGGATGATAAAAAAACACGAAAATTCTAAAAGCAGCCTCAGAGTTGATTAGAATTTACTTCATTCAATTGGCTCAATTAGACTCTGCTTGTTGGTTAAATGTTCAGAAATCCAATGAAAATATGTTGCTGAAATCAGATACGTTTTATCAAAAATTGTAAATTACATTGAGCCATTATGTGACATTCTTTTTTAATCAAATGCAGCACATAAAAAGCACTGCGGCTAAAATTTGCGAAAAAAAAAACTTACCACAGACTTATTTTATGAAGCCAACTTCCAATTTTCAAAGTGAATGGAAAATATATATTTTCTGTACAATAATCACAATTTCGCCAGTTCGTAAAACTCCAAAATTAAGATTGAATAATAGCCAGACAAAAGCAGACATCTCTATAGAGCGACATTTTTAAAATTCTATTGGAGGTGGTAATGCAGTAAACACGTTTAGAGTAATTTTCAAATTAAAGACAATGATCAAAAATTACAAATCAAATTGAAATTGATTTTGAAGTTGTTAAAGTTATTTGTAAATTTTAAAATTAAATTTTAAAAAGTTGCTGATACTTTAACTAGATCTTTGGTCTTTGGAGTATAACCAAAAACTGCAGACCATTTACAATAAATTGTATTTGTCAAATTATAAAAAATATAACTCGTAAAATTTTTCAAAATCGAATCTTATCATTCGATTTCGAATCACTATCAGCGTAAAAAACGATACTAGCCGTGACCAGGTGGAAACGGCAGTCCCAGCAGTGATAAGTTGACTACTAATATCTGGTCCCAGTCCCATTTTATTCAATGTTTTTTATTTTATTTTTTGTTAGTGTTAAAAAATCCATAATTGGAGTTTTTTGAATATGGGATTACCTTACCTGGACTGCTGGTGGAACTGCGCTCTCCAACGGATTCAAGATTAGTAGAAGAGCTGATACGATCAGATTCGCAGGTTTCCTCTTGGCGTTTTCGTCTTTCCGCCTGAAAAAAATTTCACATTATATAAATTGCAAATAGGTTTTTCTTAAATTCTAGCTTTGAACAAATATTGATATTGAATATTTCCTATCGGCATTCGATAGATACGGCCTTTAACTAGAGTATAAAAATTTCGTAATTGATAAGCAAACATAAACGTTCCAATTTTTCGGGAGCTGTGACAAACATTACTCATAAACTGAGATTATAGATAAAAACTATTTACCTGCTTTCTGTGTTGCTTCCGTGTATACCAAACGGGCACAACAGAAACAAAGCAATGGCCTATCGAATTTTGACTATTAAAATAGGACAGTAAGCACTGCTTGTAAACGGTTTTTTGAGAGTTTAATCTAATTTCATCATTTTATTGCAACTTTCCCCGGTTAATGAACTGTTGTCTCATGTATAATATTGTTAATATTGCAGATATGATTTAAAGGCAACAACAACTAGAACCAAAAATGTTTGCACATTTGTCCACCTTAATCTACTTACATTTGTATGTAGAATTTTCTTTTTATATAGTTTGTAATAAACGATTCATTTATTTAGTGTGGTTTATTGCGCTGAATTTTACCAGAAGCATGAGAATCTCAAACCGTTTTGTGACTAATCGCATTATTCCGCTGAATACTCATTGTAGCATATTCATCACAGCATATGTCTACACATTATTACTGCAAAACAAATTGCTTTCGATTTGTGACAATAACAGTAGCGCTGATTAAAAAATACGTTAATTTTTGCTTGACTCATTTTTCATAATTGTGGGTATATTTGCAAATCTGAACTGTTGCTTCGAAGTAACTAGTCCGCAACAATCACAAAATTATATTGCAATTATTTGCTGATGGTCTTCGGAGACAGTAAAGTCACTTGAGGAGACATAGTTTCATTGGGTAATTTACAAAACCTGAAATTCGTCTTACCAAATAATTATCAGAAGCGAAAAAGTGCGTTATTATCTTTCCTGGAACATTTTTTTAAATTATCAAATTTAGTGTTTAAATTTGGGCAAGCTGTATTTGAAAAAAAATTGTCCATAAAGAAGTCCTAGAGAGTTGACTTTTTAAAACATGCTGAGGACAATGCTACTCTGTTTATATTCGAAACGAGGCGTTATTATGTTTGCTGGAAGAGTTTTCAAAACATTTCAAAATAGGTTCTTAACCTTGCGCGAGCGACATTTTGCTGTTGAAAAAATGCCGGGTTCTTAATAGGGAAGAGCTCGAGAGTTCAGCTTTCTGGACATAATAGCGAGAATGCGACTCTCTTCACATTCGAAAAGGCGCGTTATTAATTTTCCTCGCAATACTTAGAGTAATTATCAAATTGGGTGGATAGTTAACTTTTAGCAAGCGCCGTTTCTGCCGACTACTAACTCAGAAACCAGTTTGGTCAGTTAATTTACTGTCTAATAGTTGCCACCAAATATGTTATATATAAACTGTGAACTAGTTAATTAGTTGTTTGTCCGCCCATTGTAATGTTTAATTAGCGGAAGATTTTGTTAATTAATCTATTAATAGACTATCAAACATTATTAGCCTATTGTATGCAGTCAATGGCGAGACGATAACAATCGACGATTACTAGCAATCGTGTATCTTAATTTAGACACATATTCAACCTAGTTGTAAGTTTTGGAAGATAATAATTAAAAACGGGATGTGAAAGGAAGCCAAAATTGAAAATTGATTAACCAAAACTGATTTAACAAAGATAAAATCATAATTTGTTGAGCGCAGGCACCTGCAGGAGAAAATTTTGCAATTGGTTTCCGCTCGTAATCCATTATGAATAAACGGTTGTAAAAAAAAATTCAGTCCACACTTTAGTAGTAAATTTCAAATAATATCCTTATATTACAGGTCTTATGATAACAATGTTTATACGGATAGACTAAAAATGATATAGTTATCTTCATCTGATGATATGAGAACAGTACGCAATATTTTGCATGTTTTTTTAAAGTTTAAGCTTGTAAAAAGTAAACTGATAACAATTGAAAGCCAAATGCCATTGTTTGTACCTACTTTTGTAGTTTTTTAAATATTAACCTTAGAATATTTGAAATACGGAATAAATTATGGGAACTATACAACCGTATTAAAGTAGAGCGATCGGTTTTATGGTGTAGCAACCGCTTTCTGTTCATCCAGTTTGTTCCCTTGGAAATGTTTCTTTCATGTATATTTATATATTACGAAATTTAATAAAATTGTCAAAACAATAATTTTGAATTCTCAAAAATAAAAGCCGCTTAATGCAATCATAGCAGTTGATTGTTTTGTTTCAGTTTTAAATAGTTTTTCTCTTGTGATAATTGTCTGTGTTTTTCTTCTCTTCAGTGGGCAGTGGTGTGTATTTTAAAAAAGTAGGCATTTTCAAAAATTTTAAAAAATTATTGATCTAATTCTGTCTTATTGGAAATGTTGTGTAAAAATAAAAATAACTGTACAACTTCTTATTTGAGTATTAAACCTGAAAAATTTCGATAATTAAAGTCCGGATGTGTTTTATTATGAAATGATAATGAATACGATTATCGCTGTAAATTAAAAATAATAATGATTGAATCAGAAGTATGAACTGAACCATAGAGAAATTACCGACAGTAGGAATGTTGTTTAATTTCAATTGATTACAAATATTGGTCATTAACTCTGTTTGCCTCTAATTATTTATTACTGTATTTCCAAAGAAAGGTTTTCTTAACAAGTATTTAAACTGAGGTGTCTACTACATCATTAACCCAATTTTATTTTAGCAAATTGCATAAATAAATATATAACGTAATACTGAAAAAGGCAGATGCAAGAATAAAAATATAACGAACTCAAAACTTTGAACAAAATGAAGGCTGATCGAGACAAACTAATGCACTGTATCTTTCCATAAACACCCTGTACATGCATACGAAAATATACACACATTTATGGGGACTCGTATATTTCATATTCAGGTATATACAGGGTGACCAAGATAAGGATGCAGTGCATAGGGAACTCCCAAACCGTAAGAGATACGAACTCTTAAAATTAGCTCGTTAAATTAGCAAAAAGTTGCAGAATTAGAGAGCCGTTTTCGAAAATCAGGTTTTTTTTTCTTGAAGTATTCAGAATAAACTTCAGACTGAAGTAATTTCAAATCATATAAAAAAACAAAAAATACTTTCTCATGGCACCTTTTCGAGCTCTACAAGATGGTGTCTATGCAAATGTATTGCAACGTTTCGTTTCTTTGAAACCATCCTCAACTTATTTTTCATACGGAACCAAAAAAGTACATCACGTAGCTTTTTTATAGCAAATTTAACGATGTGTAACACAGACGATTTGAACCGGTTCTTGTGTCAATTTTTTTATATCAAATATGCCTTTTTAGACAGAAATGTCCTGAAATAAGACCAATTAAATAGGTCAAATTTCAGCGGCTAACTTTCAACTTTTTTGCTTTTGTTTCTGGTTTTAGCAGTAATTTAGATGTAATTTATAAAAAAATGTTTTTCTTGGCGCAAGAATCGTACTGTGTTATACATTATTGATCGCTATTATTTAATACGCTTTGTACTTTTTTTGCATATAAAAAACAAAAGCTGATGATGATTTCTAAGCCACGAAACGTTGCAATTACATTAATATTATAATTAGATTTCATAGTCACCATCTTCTAGAGCTCGAAAATGACATGATATGGCATTTTTGTGATTTGAAATAACTTCAAAAATGAATAAAAACGAAAATCCGAAAAATAACTTTTTTCTAAATATCTCAAAAATGCAAACAAACTTGTTTTTAGCAAAAAAAACCCACTGAATGGGCAACTTTTTCCTAATTGAACCGACTTAGTATCTCTTACGGTTACGGAGATCGCCATACAATGCATCCTTATCTGACACAAGCAAATATATTATAAACAAGTATATTATAAATAATTTTTTTAAAAAATAGTTTGTTACTTTACTAGAAATTTCATATTTTTCCACGCCCTTGTGTCTGGATATAGTATTATAAAACACTATAAAATAATACCAATAAATTAAACAAATTATGAACTTATTTCATGTTCAGCAAGCTTCAATCTCCGAGAGTGAGGTAAAAATTACTATTCAAGAAAAACACATAGATTGCAATCCAAACTGACCAGTTAAATTAAATAAACATTCAATATAAAAAGGTGAAACGGATTGTGCTCGATGCATTAAACAAAAAATGTTGTAAACAAGTAATTTTTCAGATTTGTGATCGTAATCAACGTTATCAATTGGTTCGAAGCTATCATGCATAAATACCATAGCAATCAAGATTTTAATTTCACGAAAACTACAATCTCGTTTTTCTCGGCAGGTACCGCTTAGCTTACAGTTACTTCACGACAATGCCGTGCATAATAAAGAAAAAGCCGTCCTATTACGCGACAGCTTAATAAATAGTCGCTCTTTTGGAAAAGTCAAACTCGCACCCAATAGACTAAAATGTGACTTGACTAAAGTGAGTGGTAACTAGCATGAGAAAATGTCGTAACTATAAAAGACTAAGGGCCGTATGCGTCGTAAATCGTCTTTCTTAAGTTGGTCCGGTTTGACTAGATAAATTTCCCGGTCAGCATATCAACTTGTAATTTTTATTCACTCATACGACATTAAAATCAGAATATTTTTTGAGCTAACTTGATCCATTCAGTTAACTTGAGATTTTTCAGTTCATTTAAACCGATCCTTTACTTCATGTAATAGCCTGATCCTGTCCGCCTATCTTGGCACTTTGCGAATCATCAAAGCAGATCTGTAAGTGGCTCTTCACAACAAAATAACGTAATGGTTATTTTTATCTGTTGCTTCATGCTTCTTCCGCTATAATTGCCCATATGTTTACTAACATCTCGGTTGGCTAGGTCATTATACAGCTTTTTTGTACATGGGCCTGCCCAAACTTATGTATAGAGGTCAATGTCGTCTTGGAGCAGAGAGTGTTTCAAGGCTGTTTCTCGAATAGTTTTAAAATAAAAGGCAATTCTCTCAATCTGTTATTTGCAGCTGCAATTCTTCAAAGTTTGACTTGTCTTTGCCCAACTCTTCTCCTCTCCCAGCACCAGGAACAGTTTGCATAGTTGGCAAATTCTAATGAGGTACGGATTGTAACGGAATTATCATGGAAAGCTTACGTTTGGCGAAAGTGCTCAACTTAAATCCCACACAATTCACCGACCATTATCTGGGTACAAGGCAAATGTCAGGAATGATGTTTTTATTAGCGTGAGCGAGCATTCAGCATATGGCTTTATGTCAGCTTGCAATGTAAATTCCCATATGTTGAAGTGGTATAAACAACCTGAGACTTTGAAGCGCAAAAAGCAACGCTCTTCATATTTGAATAAATACAGCAAGGAATTATTTCTGTTCTGCAATGTGCGCTTTTACGTTAGCTATTTTATAGTAAAGTACAGTAATTGTTGCTGGTAGTAACAGTTGCACATTTTGGTCCTTCGAGCCGGATATTGTTTCACTATAGTGTAAGCGTGGCGCTTGTTGCTTTGAAACTTATTGGATTCATGAATTTTCTGCTAGTCCTCAAAGAAAATGTTTCTGCAGGTTTGGTGTTCAAAAAATGCAGTTTTATAATTTAGATTCAATTCGGTTCAATTCAATGTTAAACAAAATATTTCTGAGTAAAAGTTGTTTTCAAATAGGAAGTAGGTATGTGGATTTAAAACATTGTCTGCAGCCTTGACAAATCTATATTATGGCACTGTTATGAGTTGTTTGCTATCATTTCTTTTGGCTGACGAAATACAGTAACAAGTTTATAATTGAAAAGACTACAGACAAAAGCCTTTATTGATCAGAGCTGAAAATCTGTTTCAAATAATTTTGTATTATTTACTATATTAATGCGACAAAGATCTCTTAAAACACTGTATTTAATACCCATCTTGCTGTATGAGTTCGATAGGAACGAACCAGATTATAACGTTAATGGCCAGATTTGAACACCGTGTTTAAAAAATGTGAAATAAATATTATTTAATTAGAAACCTTCTTCAAAGACGTTCTTCTCAGCATGTACTTTTAAAAGGAATCTTGGCATCAAGTTACATCGAGCGATATTAGGCGATTTCTTTCCATGATTTGGGATTTCGAATTATCTAATGTAATATGTATAGGGTGGCGCAAAAATAAGTTTAAATGGCAATTTTGTTGGGCGCTGCTTAATAACATCAAAACCACTCGACCATATTTGACTTGTTGGTGACGCGTTTTTCTTTGGGATCTCGCGTGTTGGATGTGACCTCTATTTTTAATGTTTTTTTTTCTGTAATTATGACTTGCTATTTTCAAGTTGCCCCTGTCATTCTCATTAAAGACTCAATTTTTCTAAATCTGAGAAGCAGTACAAATGCATTTTCCAAAGACAGAGCTGAGGATCATTAAGCTTACCAGACCGTGAGAGTCAGGCATTTTTTCAACTGGTAAACGCTCAAACGAATAAATTTAAAAGGTTCTCATCTTTAGGGGCAATTTTTTCTGCTTTGAAAACTGAAAGAAACGATTTGAAAAAACATATTTTAGATTTAGTAGTCGTAATAGTAAAAATAAATGTCAAACTTTCCCAGCACCTAAAAGCTCGTTCACACGGTGACATTAATGTCGTGACATCTAATGCCGTGACAGTAGCCACTGTCACGGTGTATGACCTCCAACTGTTCAGACAATGACACTGTTGTGGACGACGTTAGACGCCAAAACATTAACGTCACCATGTGAACGAGCATTTACAGTATGTTATTTAAGGTCGAACTGGTCATCATAAGGAAAAATAACCATAATAACCGAACATTAATACTCTAATTTATCCACAACTAATTAAAATTTGCCCAAAATCACTTCACCAGAAACTACAACTTCCAAACTTCAAATTGACATACACGAACGTTTGTAGGCGAATAGTTTTGACGTTGTCATGGTAACACACAGTGGAACGATAAAATCTACCTACTTAGTCGTAAAAGAAAATTATGCTATATTTAATATTATTCCAACGAACAGATATTTTCAAAGACAGATTTAGTCAAATGTCGTATCTTGCGAATGTACCGCGTTCGGTTAGGAAACATTTAGTCGCTGTTTGAATTTCAAATGAAATATTGTTAGTCTCCAGTTAGAGTCTCGTATTGATCAGTCAATTGAACAGTGAATAAAAATGGTGGCCAAAGAGCCTGCTCTTTGACATAATATTGACAGCAGAATCTAATTTACGAGTAAAGCTATCAGCTCAAAAATCGCCTTAATCTAACCATATTTGACGAGCTTGGAAACTCCAGATCTTCATTCGAATGATAAACATTTTTTTATTTAATTCGAACGATCTTCATTCGAAGCGAACCATTTTCATTCGAACCGTTGACAGTTAAATAAAATGTTGACAACCTGTCAAATTCAAGACAAGATTCAAGATCAAGACATTTAATTATATCATATCAAGTCCCATGCAACTTGCAGATGAAAATCATCAGTAATTCTAGTTAGGTTATTAACGAGTTTCTCCGAAAAGTTGTCGTCGATAAGATATTTCAGATTTTGTGCAAACATGCGAGTGGAAACACTTAATGTAGAGCGACATTTTCGTTGTTCACTTATCAGTTTCAAATGGTCAGTGAGTATCAGACGTTCTATTGAACTTTCTCAAGCGTTCAGTTGTGCGATTATCATCCTTATCCTGAAGATCTGCGGATTTCATTTAAGCTCATGGCCTTTACAGGCATTTACAGATAACTGCACATTTTATTATATTTTATAATATAAACACCATTGCATTCCATCGGTTCGCGCGACCCACATAAATAACATCTCATTCAATTTCGACGTAGCCCAATCGGTTACCACACAATCAAATAGCGAGTGTCAAAAATATCATCCGGTCGAAGAAAGACTGCAACAATGTAACCACGAAACGATCGAAACCCGAGTCACGACAATGGTATAGAAAGTAAGTATGATACAACCAAGAGTAATGCACCGTGAAAGAAGTCGCATTTAAAACATTACTCTGACATAAAGGTTAATCGATGAGGCCCATCAAAAACATATTTACCGGCCCCATTGCTACGGACAATTGAAAACGGTTCTGAAGTCGTACGGGCTCGGTTAGGTTGGCTGTACTGTAAACAAATCTCAATGGCGATTATCATGTTTACAGATAAAAAAATCGAATTACAAACTTTTAGAAGTTAGTACATGGAGTTGAAAGAAACTGCGCAAAAGTGAACACGGTTCTGAGCTCTTGCTCAGGACATGTCTATCACGCTCTACCGCGGACTGAAAATAATTAAAATGTTTCCCTTTTGAAGAAAAATAAAAAATTTCGGATCATCTATCGAGGCGTCAAAGGTATCTGATGAATGAATGAAAAGCAGGTACAAATTTGGAAACCCCACGACCCGTTTCCAGCCTGTCGGGGCTGTTGTTCTGGGGGGTTCGAAAGATTCCAGTAACTCGCTCTGTTTGTAAACACAATCTAATAAACACAGCCTGAATTATAACCAACAATGATGGCACTACTATTTAACCTGATTAGGGCGCGTCGCGCTTGCTTTATATAGCCGTTTGGAAACACTCGAATATTCCGGAAAAACTGATTTTTTTTGACATTTGTCGAATAGGACTTTCTGCTCTTTCCTGTATGTAAAAAGAATATCGTCGTTTTCTGCTACCATTTAGTTTTTTCAATTCCTAATAACGTTAAAGATTGTGAACTAAATCGGTGATTTACTTTTCGATGTTCAGACCTAACAAATATGCCCGCAGTAAAATCAAGCATCATAGTATTTCCGCCCTAGCGTCTCTTGTCATATTTAGCCTCAAAATAACACTTCCGATACCTGCCAGAAAAGTGATAGTAACTATTTTTTTTGTTCCACAAGGTACTTTTTGCGTCGATTCACTCCACGATCGATGCACGCATTTTTCATGAAAACGTTGGAACATCTTGCCTACCATCCAGACTTGTCACCTCATGATTTTCATCTTTATGTACACCTGAAACAAGTGCTTGGATGTGGGCATTTTGACGAAGATCAAGCTGGTGCAGCAGTTGGTGCTCCTGTGGCTGCGTGAACTTTTAATTTTCTTTCACTTATAAACAACTCCAGAGATTAATCAAAGCGTTTATGTTTAAAAGGCTGAGCTTAGGACAACCACAAAAAAGTTATCTATCCATTATCGAAGACAGGTCATAACATCGAAATTCGCACTAAAAATATCCGTTATTGACAATTTACCGGTTTTCAAATTTTTCAGTCAAATTCTTTAACGCCTTTGAACTATGAAGAATGTTGGATTAAGCATTAAAATTTTATTTATTTTTTAGCAATCGTCGTGGAGATAATCTGGTTTCCCAAATTTCGATACACCTACATTGGCAGATTTCAGTTGCCATCCCGAAAAAATTAGATTACTACTCGCAGTTATGTTTATTTCTTCAAATATTTGCTTTTCGTTATGTTTTAAGCAAAGAGTCTACCGATAGTCGAAAATCGTGAAGATCTAAAGGCCCGAACTAATTATAACAAAATAAATGGCTTCCGATTGCATATAAAACCGACAGTTTTGCATAGAAAGGCCGAGGGATGAACCGTGAAAGACAAAAAACTGCAAGTTGGCTTCTTCGTCATTCACAATCGATTTTTGCTTTCCGATGTTTTCTCCTTCAAATAACCCATTCGTTCCAAGTCTTAACGAACAGGCAAATTGATACGGATTGACTGATAATGATAGAAAATGCAGAAAGGTAATTTCGAAATTCTCAATATAATAACATTAGTAATATTCTAAATGTAGTAATATAATCGAAACTAAAATAACTGAACTGAATCCAAACTGCCAAGAAAGATCAGAGCAATTAATCATCGAAAAAGCGAACATGCAAATGAATAAATAATAATGTTTATGCTGTACTTTTTTGGTGTATTTTTCGAAAAGGTGTATTATTTGCTACCGACAGTGGACGACATCGGTCTAGTGGTTCTTAGATGGGAAATAAAGTACCATAGTGGGAGGGTTGTCTCAAGTGCGGTAGTTTGTGAAAGTGTAGTGAACTTTTTGTGGATGTATGTGTAGAAAATGGAGGACGGGGGCTCCAGCTTGCAGAAAGCTGGTAAGCATGATCTGTAATCTATACATATCTTAGCTTGAACTGAGTTGAGTTTTCCGACAAGCAACTGCAGTTTTATGGATTCTTTATATTTCTCTCCATTTGCTTTGCTGATTTTAAATAAGTTTGGCTTTGGACAGATTTCCTGCTGTATTAAACACATTTTCGCCTTTCTTTTCAGGTGGCACTACGCAGCTTTCGGTAAGCTTAGCATTACTTTGCCTCTGGTTGTCATGTACATGTAGAACATTTTGTCCCAGTAGACTTTTAGTGGATTTGGTAGCGATTGAGCTATTGGTTCTTTCGTAGTTAATTTTGAAACTTTGGCAATATTTTGGGTGGCTTTGAATTTTTATATCAAGCTCATTCTGAAGCTATTCGCTGAAGAGCCGCTTCAGATATTGAAATTTGGATTCCAGTATTCATACAAGAAGCATCAGGTTACTGATCGTGAGGATTTGGTTCCAATTAAACCATTGATTCCTTCACAAGAAATTTTTTAACTTTGGGAATATTTTTGGGCGGCTTTGTATTTTAACATCAAGCTCATCTGGAGCTTGCCTCCAAAGAACAGTTTCATATATGCAAAAATTTTCATATATTCATAAAGAAAAGTCAAGAGTTTTAGTTTTGCCTGTTTTTTTTTTATTGCGAAATCGACGGAAACATTAGCTGCGTAAAAGCGTTCATTTTCAAATCAACATTTACGAAGCGCACAAAATTCAGGATTTCATGTGATTTGAATGAATTTTTTATGGTTTGAAGAAAGTTTTACGACGTTTAGAGCGCACTCTTCTTTACTGAAAGCACAACTCTGACCTTGTAGAGTATTTTTCGTCTGAGAATTTTAATTTCTAAAAACGCGATGCAAAATGTGTCAGCGGCAGTTTTTCCAAATCCTAAGCAAAATTTTCTTAACGATGAGTGAAATTCAAAATTTTGACGACATTTAGAGCGCACGCTTCTTTACTGAACACATAAATCTGAACTTGTAGAGTAATGATCGTTTCTGAGAAATTTGTTTTTGAAAATCTCAATTCGAAATGTGTCCCGCAAAAGTTCTTTGAAATCTGGCGAAAATTTTCCAAAATTTTCATTTCATAAACGTCATTAAATTCTTGTCGAATTTAATGAAACCTTGGATCCATTGAAATGTTTATTGAAAATCATTCCCGGTATTATGCCGCAACTATAAACGTACTGATTAAAAAATGAGTTTGGGGTGCTTAGGGTCCATTTTGGCAGAGGGTAGTGGGTTAATCACAACGTCAATAATTTTTCCCATTATATTTTAATAGACGTATTATTGGATTTTTTTGTTATTGAAATACTTTTCGACATATCGCCATTTATAATTTTTTTAAAAAGTATTTTGCAAGAATTTTTCCACTTATGTATGCGAGAGCAAATCTCATAAGCGAAGCACCATCACATTTACTCAAGTACTAATTATCGCAATTTATTGGCTAATTAAATGTGAAAAAGTCAGGAAATATAACTTGATAAGGAAATGGTCGATGTGAAAGCTTGCATTCTTCCACTTGAGATATCCAATTGTAAAAACTGTAAATTTACTATTTAAGTAAATAAACCTAGTAATTTGAATTAATTTCAATAATTGCATCAAACTGTAACTAAATGGCAATGCCTAAAGTAAATTAAATGGAAATGCCCTCTTTTTGATGAGCCGTAAATGTGAGAAATAAAAGCAAGTTGCACTAGCTTATACATGGTACTTTCCGCGGCTAACTGTAGTTCTATTTTTGACACCTTTTATACTAATAAATTACAGTGCTTCCTGTACATATCGGCAAAGATTTGAATATCTATAATTGCAAAGTGAAGCTGTTGCAACATTGATTCCTACAGCAAAATTATACGATAAACATCCTTTCGATATGCACCATGCTAATTAAACGGCTCATTAGACTAAATCGGGAGAGCAGAAGGAATTATTCTTGGTCAACGGTATCTTGCAGAATTTGCCGGTCATTAATAACTAGGTCAGTGGGTGTCTCTTTAACTGATGATATTATTTATGACTGATTTATACTAAAAACGCAAACCAAGTGAAAGGTTGTAGAAAACTGAAAAATACTAGCAATTTAAATCCGAAGCAGCTTTCTAAACCCACAATTAGAACGAACTCTTAACAATGAAAACCTACAGTCCGGAAGCGGATACTTTTATTTGCAACTAACAGATAGTTACACATCGGCTGATTGGCTTCAATCCACTTTTTGATTATCGAGATAGAATTTCAAAGTCACTTCAATAATAGTGACGGTTATAAGCTATTATTATCGTTTCTGTGTAGGGATATTAGGCTTCTTACAGGAGAAAGGCTATGAATAATTAAGTTCAGATGATGTTTTGAGATAATATTTAAATACCAATATTCTTACTTTGAGACCTGAAGACCTAGTTTAGTAATGGCTAACTAATTGAAGCAGGGCATTCTGGTTAAAGACGACATCCATTAAATATACATTTAAACAACAATGTATTGTTTACCAGAACACTTAATTATCTCCTCTTAGTCTACTTGGCTTGCAGCCTGCTTATGCCCTAATAAAAAAATTAATGAGAAAATCAGATTTTCTTCCTTAAAGGAAAGTGCGTTTGCTTTGAATATTAAAAACCTCAATTTTGCTTTCGGATATAATTCAAATCAATCAAAAATGATAATGTATTAGTAAAGTAATATGAATTTGGGTCTAGGTATATAGAAGAGGGATTCTACTAAGTTGCTTAGTTTCAAGAGAACGCAAAATATTTTTTGGGTGATTGGAAAAGGGATCAAAATGTATTACTTGATAAAACTGTTGCTGGTTATCACTTCATGAATCAAATATTTTTTATTATATTTTGCAGACTTCGTTTAATTGAGAGTTTCGATACCTTCCTCAAAAAACTCCAAGTTAATAATTGTGAAAACCTATAAAATCTTAATTTATTTAATTTTGTATTCATCATTATTCCTTAGACAAACATTATTATAAAAATTGCTGGTAATTGATGAAAACTAGACCATTTGATTGATGATGATTGATTTCCGATTAGCGTAAGGTTTCCCTCATGCTTTGCACTCCAAATATCATTAGCGTGTATGATCCACATGTAAAACGATTTGTTTCTGCATAATCTGCGATATCGAAAAATTAATTACAGGTCACAAGATGGATTTCTGACGTGGATTTTCCGCATCTAATCCGTCCCAACCCGCTCCACATATCATTTTATTTAAAACCAGTCTAGGATTGTTGAGGGATTATTGCAGTCCAAATTACATTTAAAATGCCGGGGATTTCAACCACAGACTAGTTCATATTTCTTTGAAAGGTTTCTGGCTTATATGAGGATTATTTCAACGCTTATTGGGTGAGACCCTTCAACGTTTTACTGTCTTTGCTCACATTAGAAGATAGGGAGAACTATCAACAACAAGTAATCTTCAGATATAAGCCGTTGTTGTATGTGAAATTAGATAATATTTTGTTGAACTGTTTTTCCGTATTAACTGAGTCTTGGCAGCTTTTTTCTTTACCTAACGTTCAATTCATATTCGCTTAATATTTCCTCAAGAAATACGCTTGATTAATTATTAAATTAATTTAAAGTAATACATTACTTTGCAATAAATGGTATCGATTAATCTCTGTAACAAATTGTTAAAAATATATATGTTTTTTTTTATATTGCTTGCATTTTTCAACACCCGGTGCATACCCATAGTGAATTGAAATGAACGTATCTATTCACTGTATTCTCCAATGTATAAGAGTAATAAAGCCATTTTGAATAATAATATTCTAATGGAACACGGGGAATTTCCATAAATTTGTTACCTTCCTCTAGAATTCACATTCAAAAGCAAAGTTAATTCGCAACAATTATAACTAGCAACTTAGAGAGTCTAGATAATTTGAAATCATCAATCCTGCGCACATGTTTCTATAACAATATTATTGATTAAACAAATCATATTAAGAAATTGTATACAAAGATACTGGGAACGGCCGATGTTTCATTACTTCTAAGTGCTTGCAAATTAAACAGTAAATATTCCAGGAAACGCAATTTCCTAGTCAGAACCTGTTGCCGTGCAAAGGAAACAAATGATCGCTTTTAACACACAGAATAATA